ATCCTTTCCATCCACAACAACAACGACCACAACAACAGCAACGACAGGCACTTTTGAATCACAGACCAAACAATGGCGTTCCCAATAGTGTTCCGCAAAACGCTGTCCAGCAGTCTGTGGGCCATAACATGGGTCCGCATCAGCCGAATCATCAGCAGTTCTTCACAGTGATGGCACCACAACAGCATCACATCCCACAGATGGCCTATAATCTGGCGCCTCATAATATGGCTCATTCCGTATGTTGAATGTGATGTTGCATTGAATCTTATGTTTAAACACATGCTTTACAATACAGTATCAACAGAGGGCCTTAAATCCGGCCCACATGCAATACTACATGTATGCGCACCCGCAACAGCAACAACAGCAGCCGCAACAGGCATTTCAGGCCCAACCGGCGTACTCTTATGGCATGAATGGTATGTTTTGTCACTACTTGTTACGTGTGTCACAAAGTAATGTAAAATGTGTTTTACAGTCTACTCGTCTCACTTTAACCCTCAACCGGCGACTCATCCAAACGCTCAAATGGTGTCGTCACAGCTCCAGCCCAGAGGACAACCGGTTGCCGCTCAACCGGTCATACAGACGACTCACCAGCCATTGCCCGTTCAGATGACTGCGCCCACCCCTGAGATGAACACGGAGTCGCCCACACCGTCGTCAACGAAGGTGCCGAAGCGTACGCGCACTTTGGCCATTCTTACGGATCCCAATAGTGGCAAAACCATTGATTTGGCCGATTTGGCCAAAAATCCCATTGAAGAGGCCAACAGCCAAACCGATGCCACTCTGAAGACTGAGTCACATTCGGGAACTTCCAATCCTCCGAATACCACTCAAACGGTATTTCACGAAATGATTGTAATTTACAAATTGTTTTATTCATGACTTGTTATGATTATAGTTAGAGGAGAAGGAGAAGAACGCCCAGATCATAGCGTTGAACTTCGCGACGCAAGTGGCAGTCGCGGCGACGACCCCCACTCCAGACAAACCAAGTGCTGCCTCCCTTTCAACCACTCCTAATGTGAATGAAACAGTTTCGGCTAATTCTAAGCCTCAACGGGAAGAGAAGACAGCTATTAGTAAACCCAACACAAGTGAACCAATTAATGACAAATTAAGGGATAATTGTGACCATTTGACGAACGATAAACCAGTGATTATTAATACAAATACGACAATTAGTG